GATGATAGAGCAACGAAACGAAGAATCGAGTACGCATATTGCGCACTGTCTAGCAAATACACATAACTTTTTGCTCAGAACTCCATTTTGGGCTATATAATATATGGTTGGAAAGCTAACTCAAAGTGCTACAACTTTCATGTTTTATGTCTTTCCAAATTCCAAACGGAACAGGGTGACAAATGCGGTCGAAACCGCGACCGCAGACCTGAACACGGATCGAGGCAGTGCACTGGGAAAATACCGCCCCCGGACCGCGACTGCGAGCGTCCAGACCTGAAAAATTATCCTTTTTCGCATATGAGAAGGTATAATTATTTGGGTCCGACCCTACATGGTACATATACATGGAAAAATGGTATTTTGAGGAAGTTGGACATACTTTTGACACATATTCGACCTAAGGAGGCAATGACACAATAGGAGCAAGGCGAGGAATTCTTCTACGAGTTTTTCCTTCCTCTTCCTATTTTTTCATTGTTGGTTATGAATTTTAGTATTGTAGTTTGACATACTATTATGAATAGCTAATTTGTTATCTAGGGTTTTGATAGAACCTTTTGTAGGATAAATTCTTGTTATGTTTTTATATAATTGAGTCGTTGGATTTCTCTACTTGTTCAACTACGTGTTTATTGTTGTTAATTGAATGGTCATCGATTGACTGTGCATATTTATTATGTGTTACTTGAGAAAGGATACATATTTAGGTGGTTGTTGAACAACGTCACTCCTAACGTATGTGAGAAATTAATACAGCAGGTTTAAAGGTAGGTTTAGAAATAACAAAGCCTTGACGTGGTCATAATGAGCGGTTAGATAAAGCCAACTAGCGCAGTTCGAAAGAATATGCATAGTAAATTATTGTAGTTGCTCGAGGGAGAATTACGGCATCTAAAGTGCTCACTGATCGTAGAGAATACATAGGCGAAATTGTTGAAAACATAGCGGGAAGGATTCCAATATTTGGGGAAATCTTAACTCTAGACCTCCTTAGTTTTCTCTCAAATTTTATCATTGTTAGTTGATAATTTTACTGCTTTATAATAGTGTTAGTTAATTAGTTAGAAATAAATATTATAATCTCTATAATTAGAAAATTATTTGGACTTGTGGTTCTTAGCAATATTGAACAACTGCAGCTAAGCCTTACTTCTCTGTGGGATTCGACTTCAGACTTTTAGACCGAATTATAATTGCAGCGATCGATTATCCTTTTTAGGACTAGAGTTGGGCGTGACCAGAGTTGTACCCCCGTTCATCCATTTACTGCTTATTTTTTGCTTATTAGTTACTATGTGACTTGTCGGGGTATTTGTTTCAGTTCCGGGATGTTTCGAAATGAGTTGAGACATTTAGTCTCAAGGTAGAAAGCTTAAGTTGAAAAGGTTGATCAGATATTGACTTATGTGTAAGCGACTCCGAAATAGAGTTTTGATGGTTATATTAACTTTGTTGGGTGATTTTGCACTTAGGAGTGTGTTCGGATAGTGATTTGGATGTCCGTAGTTGAATTAGGCTTGAGATGACGAAAGTTGAAAAATTAGAAGCTTTGGATATTTAGAAGTTTGACCGAGAGTTGACTTTGTGGCTACCGGGCTTGGATTGGGGTTCCGGGAGTTGGAGTAGGTCTGTTGTGTCATTTGTGACTTATGTGCAAAATTTGAGGTCAATCGGGCTTGATTTGATATATTTTGATGTCAAATGTAGAAGTTGGAAGTCCATAAGTTCATTAGGCTTGAGTGTTATTTGATGTAATTTGACACTTCGACCGAGTTCGTATGATTTTTTGGACTTGTTGGTATGTTCGGACGGGGTCCCGAGGGCCTCGAGTGTAATTTGAATCAAGTTCGGCTTCATTTTGGACTTTGTTGGATTGCTGATATCTGTGTATCTAGTTTTCACTTTCGCGATCGCGAAGAGTCGTTGCTAGCAGGTGGTAATTTATTCTTCGTGTTTGCGATATTAGGCCAGCGGTCGTGAAGCTTTGAGATTCTCAGGTCACAAGGATGCGAGAAGATTCACGCGTTTGCGTAGAGGAGTGGTCAGTTGGAGCATCAGGCTTTAAGCCTACGTGATCGTGTAATTGTGCACGTGTTCGCGAAGAGTCAGGTCGGGTAAGCACCGCATTTGCGGTAGTGTCTTCACATTCGTGTATACTATTTTGGAGGCTGTGATTATTTGTTCTTTGAGATCACGATGCAGGTCCCGCAATCGCGATGCATAACATTTGGGAAGAAACTTAAATATTTCAAAACTAGGGTTTGAATTCATATCACAAATTTGATTTTGGGAGCTCGGTTGGAGGCGATTCTTGGAGAGATTTTCAAGGGAGTGATTGGGGTAAGTGATTCTTACTTAGTTTTGGTTAAATTCCATATTTATGTCTTTGATTTCATCATTTAATTAGTGATTTGAGTTGGAAAATTGGGAAAAAATGGAGGAAAGTTCTTAGGCCGAATTTTGGTATCGGATTTGAGTAACTTTAGTATGGGTGGACTCGTGGTTCAATGGGTGTTCGAATTTTGTGACTTTTATCGGATTTCGAGACATGGTCCCGGGGTTCGACTTTTGGGTTGGCTTTTTGCCTTTTGATTAAGAACTTAGAAATTTCACATGGAATTGATTCCTTTAGCTCGTTTGATTGTATCGTATTGTTTGTGGCTAGATTTGAGGCATTCAGAGGCCGTTTCATGAGGCAAGGGCATGTTGGAGTAGAGTTTTGCACTGTTTGAGGTAAGTAACAGTTCTAAACTTGGTTCTGAGGGTATGAAACCCCAAATTTACGTGTTATGTGATTGGTATTGAGGTGACGCACATGCTAGGTGATGGGCATGTGGGCGTGCACCGTAGGAATTGTGACTCGGTCAATTCCATGGAACTGTATAGTTGAATAATCATGTTGTATTCGTATATTCTCCATATGTTAGAGAAATTGAGCTGCTAGTCATGTTAGAAATCATGCTTAGGCTATATGTTGGTACTGTTGGGACCTACAGAGGTCACATTACATTTTGAATTAATTACTTAATTTGAAATCACACACTCAGTCACATCTATTATTTACATATCATATCTCAGTTTCTACTGTCATCCATTTATACATTATATCATCATTGTTTGGACTGATTATCATGATTCTTGTGAGCTCGAGAGACTGGAGAGATTGATGACTGAGTGAGACTGAGCACATGATTGTGAGGATATTATGGGATTTGGCTGCACGTCACAGCATGTTTATTTTATTCATGCCATGATTGGCTTATTATAGCACTTGGGATGGAATTGCCCCTCCAGATTCTGCACATCCACATTGAGTGGAGGTACCTACCGAGTGCGAGTGCCGAGCGTGAGCGTCGAGCGATTGGGAGGATTGAGTGGCCGTGAGGATGGAGTGAATGGGATGACTTAATGACTGATTCTCTGAGAGTATGCATATGATTTCATTTCTTTCTTTATATTTTAGTTCGCATATATAACTGTCATGTAGATACGGAGCTGTACCATATCTTGTTTAAATTGAAGTTGACATGATTTACCTGTTTGGGCTTTAAATGTTAAATTTGAAAGCATGTCTACATTTTCGTACTGTAATCTTGTAGTTGGACTGCACCTGTTAAGCTCGTCACTACTTTTAGTCCAATTGTTAGACTTGTTACTTACTGAGTTGGTTGCACTCACGCTACACCCTGCACTTCCTGCGCAGATCTGTATGTTTTCAAATACGGTGGATGCCGATTCTGAGAGTCGTACAATATTTCAGAGATCTTTTTGAGGTAGCTGCTTTGGCGTCAGCAAACCTTGACTCTCCTCCCCTATCCTTCAGTTTTATTTATTCAGTTTCAGTTTCTTAGACAGTGATTCAGACTCTATATTGGTATAAATGCTCATGTACTTAGTGACACCCTGGTTTTGGGAAAAATATATGTATTGAGTTGTGATATTCTATTCCGTTTTATGAGACTTCTATTTATTTAAACTGTTTTGTTATATTTCAAAGTTGAAAGTGTTGGAAATGTCTGGGTAGTCGGCTTGCCTAGTACCATGATAAGCGCCATCACGACATGTTAGATTTTGGGTCGTGACAAAAAACTTATTTAAAAATAGTGTAACAAAATTATTTTATTCATTCCAATTGCAAACAACAAAACAGAAACGCTTATTTGTTTCACCAAAAAGACAGAACAAATCTATTATTTTTCGGACTAGAAAGCTAGTATGTGGCTCTAATACCAATGTAGGAACGCGATAAACTAAACACATTAATTTGGCGTGTAAATTATAAAACAAGAACTTATTTGTTTTTCGTGAAGCGGAAGCGGAACAGAATGAACCACGACTGGAATCACTGATCGATGGTGGTTGTCACATTATGACAGAGCAACCCCCTAAATCACAATCTAAACTCTCGTCTGGATTGAGAGAGAGAAAGAGCGCGGGGAAAAATACTGCTCAGGGTATATTTTAATGTACACTATAAGTGTACTTACAAAGGGAATACTAGAGTTAACTAATAACCTTATTGGGTCTTAAAGCACCCCTTATGGGTGGACCCAAAATTTCCTACACAAATTTACACTTTTAATAGCTTTTTTGCATCAATTTAATCATTCTTTTTTATTAATTAATTTTTTCTTGCTACACTTGGATATTTTGGATATTTTCTGCAAAGTTGGAGGGATAATCTTATTCAATTTGATCAGCAGTAAAATCCTTCCAATTTTTTGAGCTCAAAATCAATATCATAAAGGTATAAAATTAAGTTACAAAGAATGTGGAACAATTACATTATTACTATATATAAGTAGAAAGAGGTGCACGAACACAACAATAGTCCATTGTACATAATGTTGTATTAATTGTACTATAGACCTGGACACATTTTATTGGTTTTTGAATTCTTTTGTCCTTCTTCCGTCAACACGTGTGCTGCTACTCTATTTTAAGTAAACCACGTGCAGCACTTTATATGCAAAATAATATTATTTGGGTCTCTTGGATCACACTCTCTTAATGACGCCTCTGTCTTTCTCTGTTTCCGCTATTCTTTTCTCTATCCTTCCCTATTCGCTCTCTCCTCTCTGTATCTCCATGCAGATAACCCCCAATTTTTCCAGAAAATATCAAATCAAAGCAGAGAAAGCCAATCAAAATTCTAAACTCCGGCACTATTCAGAAGCGACAAAGGGATGTGCAATTTCAGTTGAAAAAGGAGACTATTCACTGTATTAACTTTGAAGATGCTGAATTGCTGATAACTCTGTGCATAATTTTGCTTCTTTTTTTTTTTCTCTCTTTTTCCTCTCTCTCTCTCTCTCTCTCTCTCTCTCTCTCTTTTAAGTCAAAGTGAATATAGACATATAAATCATCTAATTATGAATCTATACTCTTTTTCTAGGATGAATCTCAGAGATGTCTTGATTCAGTCAGCATTTTATGGTTCGGTAAGAGCTTGTTCTTCCTTTAGTATGCATGTGGTTTTTTTTCAAAAATCATGTGTATATGCTGTTTTTTTGTTGGTTCGTCGTTTTCTATTGCCATATATAATTAATTTTTTGGCATAAAGAAAGGTGAATAACATTTTTTTTAGTTAGAAGAAAGGTGGGGACCTGAAGGAAAACTTGGGTTATTACCTGAATATATCCTAGAATTATCTAATGAGTTCACAGCTTGACCGCTCCTTTGTATTCTTTTTTGTGTTATAGTGGAAACATTGCCTAAATGATTTGAATTAAGATAAAAGAAAAAAAATTGTAGACACATTAGATTTGCTAACTCAATTGATTCTAATTAGAAATTTCTAAGATGAAGCTTTTTTCACATTCTGTTTTTCATTCAATTGATATTTAATATTATTTTATTAGTTCCTTATCGTTTCATATGTAACTTAGGCATTTTTGCAAGTCAATCTTGTGATTGATCTTGTCTATATTAAAAACGTAAAATATCTCGAGTTAATTTAGTGTCTTTCTTTCTCCTTTTGTTCTTTTCTGCACAATATGTGTCCTATCCTTTTTTATGAAGGTGCAATTCAGGAAATACTGCATTTACTTAGTTGGACATTTCTCACCAAGGTATACATGATTATTCAGTATGAAGAAACTTCTACATATTGGATTAGAAATTTATATTTTCTTGCATAATAGATCATTTCTGCTCTGTTAGCCTTATATATCTTTATGAATTTGAGATGTATAACACATATACATATATTTTATTGAAGAAAATTTACAGGTATCAAAACATCATGGCAAAGGAAATAACATTAATCAAGTAACACCAGCTACACCTGATTGGACATGCAAAATTCAAAGTTCTGGACAGAAGTTGAGAACGAGAAAGTCTTGAGAGAAAGATGAAATTTCAGAATCTTGTTTTTGCAAGATGAATAGGTAATTTTATTTATCTTCTATGTATACAATCAACTTTGTTTAACTAAGCTTAAATAGTTATCCTTTCAGTCCAATGATGCAGTTTTTTGTCAATCGGTTTTTTAAGTACATAAAAATTAGAGATTCTGGTTTCACTGAAAAGATATGATTCTTGAGAATATAATGATACTTTGGTGAGTGTTTTTCTTTTAAATCAGTTATATATGCTATATCTGACACTGGCGCTTATGACATAGTCTTCCATAATCTATACTCTTGAGATAACTCCAACTTCCTTCTAATTCTTTGTAAATGCAACTTCCAAAGCACTTTCCAGATATTAATAAGTTAGATTCAAGATCGATATGTGGACAAGCTCTTTTCAAGTACTGGTTAATGCATACAAATAGCTGAATTTTCATCTTGATTACCATTTCAATTCTCAGAGTTATAACATTAGTGACAACCTCTAAGGTAGTCAAATCTTCTGCTTTCTCTTTTTGAAAATAGCAGTTGGTAGAAAGTCACAGTTGGTTCTTCAATTTTCTTTACTTCTAACCAAGCATCTTGCTCACTCTTTATTTTGTAGATGTTCAGTTACGTGCTCCTATTCTTTATGTCATTCTGAAAAAATAAAAAGCTTAGAGTTTTTAACCAATTCTCATTGCCTTCTGATTTATAACAGAAGCTTTTGCCTTTATAGCTGAATATATTCTGCAGTAGTTTTGTTAAACTGGTTTCTATATTCTTAATCATATACGTTTTCCCTCATCTATGTCTCCTCAAGTTCCTATATTTTACTTTTCAGTATCTTTGCATCACCATTTAAGTAATTAAGTCACCTAATGCTTCTGTAGACCACTAACTTAACATACTACCAAGTATAAAAATGACAACAGAGAACTACACGGAAAAAAGGCTTAGCTACCTGCTAAAAGCCTGATAATTTGTGGAAAATCGATGTTAGCGAAGGAACATATGCCTGTAATGCATCCTTGAAAGGATTACATGAATACACAATCATTTTATAGCCAAGGTATATAGACATGATCAAACAAGTCTTGGATGAGTTATAATTTAGGGAATACATTTAATCAATGTTCTCAAGCACAGAAACATGTGAAGGGGGGAGGGGGAAGAGAGTTGATCGAAAAAAGAAAGCAAGATTGATCACGTTATGGTAATAGTCCTATAGCTTTGATCTGTATCTCATAATTTCACCCATATTTATTGATTTTTCTCTGAATGCTATGTCTCTAACTGCAGAATTTCGTACCTTGTCTTTGAATTCTAATTTAGACTCTGGGGGTTGAGCAAAACGTTTTAGAGGATATTTATATACTAATCAGGTGAAAAAAGTCACTAAGTCAAGAAAGTGCTAAATTCTCCACTGAATCTCATTGTGATCATCAGGTTTTAGATTATTTAAGCGATCTGATGCATGAACATGCAGAGTATCAACTTTTGGTGATCTTAGCCTACTCTATTATATGTTTTCTTGTGTGATTTGCCTCTCATGTGCTGGATACCTGCAACATTAGTCCAATACATTTATACAAAAGGGCTGAAAACATCTTGGGTATATCGAGCTATTAAAAGATTTCCTCATTGTGTATATCGAGCTATACAGATACTTCCTCATTGTAGAAGAATTCTAACTTTGTTGTCACTTTCATTTCTTTTCTAACAGTAGAGCTTCTTTGTTTCCGAAAACTTCCCAAATAGATCGCTCTTTCTTATGGAATTTTTTCAAGAAGGAAGCATCATTTCTCTTAAAGAACTGCAAACTACAGTCTTACGGCAAAGACCGGAATTCATCATTAAATTACAAATATTTTACTTCTCAGAAGAAAAGTTCCTTAACAACCAAATGAAGTTACTTTTTCATGATTTCTGTTTTTTTCATCCATAAGCACCATTTTATCATCTTTCTTCGATGGTGTTTATACGGTATGGTTCTCTTAAATATAGTTTAAAAAAAATATGCATTCCACTTCGCCACTTTGTAGGTTTTGACTGAATAAGGTTTTTCATTAAGGGCAAATTCAAGTAACCAACAACATTCCTACTTTTCATGGAACCATTAGGCCAAAAAATCTTAATCTAGGCTTATTTATGACATGTTGAGGAAAGTAGTGGTAGAAACTGGAGGGGTAGAAAAAGCTTTTGATTTTCTTTTCTATTTATACATTTCAACTTCTTTAGACCTGATTTCTACAATTAGTAGATGGATGGAAACTGTTATTACTTGAATGCTTCTTATATGCTTCCCTTTTCACATTGCAGTTTTCATTAGTTGTACTGCTTCTTACACACTTTCCGTTTTACATAATATTTTTCTATATCTTTTTTTGTTAATACATTCTTTCAGACATAATAATCTCTTACTTTAACTTCGTCATAACAGGTCATTATGTTGTAAATGTGAGAACTAAAGAGACGCACTAATTCAACATTTTTTTTCATTTGGAGTTGGAGTTAGATGTTGAGTGGCAACACCATCAAAAGGACTGTAAATATTTGATCTGCAATGTCAGTTGTCCCTTTGATATTTTAGGAACATCTATTATAGACTTTTGATGAAGTACTTATTCTTCAGCTCGACGTGTAGTGCTTAATTACCATAATTTTCTCCTACATGGTATGAGTTCCCATAAGCTATGATTTTCTTCACATACAAGCCAACCTTGATCAAAATCTAACATGTTGGGCCGTGCTTAGCACGGGCTTCCCCTTCTAGTATATTATATATGTACTCAAATGAATATGTCCACTATCCATATTAAATGCTTCCATCAGCAGTATTTCCTTTCGAAAGAAATAGTTAAGCAGCCGCCTTTTGAACTCGGAATCCGGATAACCGAACCTAGTTTTACTGAAAAAAGGCTGCGGATTTGACTGTCGCAAAAAAAACGCAAAAATTCAGGATCCAACGCTGTTATTACACGGAGCAGCTTACCATAGAATAGTTGTACCAAATAAATAATTTGGTTACAACATCCACAAATTAAAGTAACAATACATATCATTTAACGTTTGATTAAGTGATAAAATTTAACCCAAGTTAAATAACTTCATATGCAGGACACATGTCACGTTCATTTGTTACAAACACCCGAATGCGAATAAATTTTATCGAGTAGATATGCAAACTCAAAAAAGCTTCAAGTTGTCTCTTCTATTTTGAAACAAAGCCATAGTATTCTGCTTCGTAAGCATCCATCAATAGATCAGTTGAAAAATTCCAAAATCTTGAAAATGACAGCAACCATGATATCAGTACTGCAAAACAAGGGTCTTGATACATGCAGCAGCCTTTTTTTGTGTTACGTAGGTATAAAGGTGAATAATGTCTTATTTGTAGATGAACATGGACAAGACCCTTGAGCCAAAACGCGCAGCTGTTCCGTGGATGGACACCCTGAATTCCTGTAGTAAAACAGAGTCAACATTAAACGCGCAACATGTATACAATTAAATGAACCATAGTTAATGCATATATATAATATCTCGATAGTATTATGTTAAGTAGATGCTCGGGAATTCGGGACCTCCTCTTGGAGCCAATCCATATCCACACGGATAATCCAAGTGAGGTGGTGGAGGAAGAGTCATGATTCATGACTTATGCAGAAGCTTCAACCATGGATGTATATATGCGTGCACATTTAGTATTGGGAAGGTGATATCTTTAAGTGGATACTTCAATTTGTAAATTAATGGTATTAGGTCACTCACCTTGGCTAGGATTCATTTGTTCTGTTTTCAATTCAAGCATATCTAAACCGTCACAATAAGCAGCTAGCACAAGTGTAAATACCCATGAGTACGTCTACATTTATATATGTTAATATACCATTCATTCTTGTATACAATTTCAGCAATAATCCATATTTTGCCTATAGCTTTGGGATGGCCGACGATAATGAAAGCTCAAGCTCATTTCCAATTGGGGAAACTGCACAAGAGAAGGGGCTATCCTATGTCCCAAAGTGTTACATGATGCCACCTTCACAACGGCCTAGTTTGAAGTCCGAGTTTGCAAATGTCCCAATGGTTGATTTGGCTGGTATGAATGATGATAATCCCCTACAAAGATCAATAATCATCCAAGACATTGCTAATGCTTGTCGCCGCAATGGTTTCTTTCACGTAAGTATTAAGATGTTGTAACAGATAAATTGTCCTATTTTTCTGGTTACTAGCTAATCCCTCATTTTATGGACGGTTACTTGTTTGTAACATGTCAGCGTACAGAAGTTAAAAGTCATTTGCAATTAATGTTTCTGCTTATTTCCTTATTTGAAGGTTATCAACCACGGAATATCCCAGGCTATACTAGATGGAGCACTTTCAGCCGCCTTTGGTTTCTTCGACCTGGCTACTGAGGACAAAGAAAAAATTATGTCGAATGATGTGTACAAGCCTGTTCGATATGGCACGAGTTTGAAGGATGGTGAAGACAAGGTTCAATTCTGGAGGGTCTTCCTCAAGCACTATGCAAATCCTCTTATTGATTGGATTAAACTGTGGCCTGAAAATCCACCAGACTACAGGTATATATACCTCGTCAACTTATTCGTACTCAAATTGTGTAAATATCACTTTAGTTGCATGTTAGTCATTCATTGTTACATGGAGTATCTAGGGACTGGTGATTTCAGGATTTAAATTTGATGCATAGTCAACTAGGCTGCACGTGGCTCATGTATGTTTATAAATTTCAAATGTCAGCATTTAGTTGTTTGCGATTATATTTATTTCTAATATAGTACTTAATTTCAGCTGATATATTTGAACTTAGTTTAAGCTGACTNCCCATTTATCCACTTTGTTGGAGCTATTGCTCCTTTGATGACTCAAACCCACGATCCCAGGATTGTAGTTGGGGGTGCTGACCATTTGGGTAACCCCTCTTGTCGGATTATCTACTCTCCTAGACATCAGATGTATGTACATTAATGGACTTGGTTAATAAGCATTGTACCCCTTACATTTTCAAAACAATTTAAGGAATAACTCTGGATGTTGAATGACAGGGAAAAGATGGGGAAATATACAGAGGAAGTACAAAAGTTAGCCATTAAGATCATGGGCATAATCACTGAAGGCCTAGGACTTGGTCCAACATATCTAAGCCAAAATTTTCAAGATGGAGTGAATGTAATTGCTGTCAATTGTTATCCTCCATGTCCACAACCAGGCCTTGCACTTGGTCTCCCCCCACATTCAGATTACAGTATCCTAACCATTGTCCTTCAAAGCTCAGCAGGATTAGAAATTTTAGATATACAAAATAATGAATGGAGGGCAGTTCAAGATCTTCAGGGTACATTACAAGTCCATGTAGGTGACCATCTTGAAGTACTAAGTAATGGCTTGTATAAAAGTGTGGTACACAGAGTTACTTTAAACTCTCAAAAGACAAGAATTTCAGTTTCTAGTTTGCATAGTTTGGGAATGGATGAGAAGATGGAGACAGCTAAAGAGTTAGAGGATGAAGAATATCCAAAGAGGTATAAAGAAAGCAGCTTCTCAGATTTTCTCAAATTTCTGCATGAGAATGATATTGGACAAGGGAGTAGCTTCCTCATGACGCTCAAGAACAACTAGTATCTTGGATTGAAGAGGTCTTGGACTAGTAAAAAACAGAGCAATGGTTTGTATAATGAGTTTAATTAGTTTTTCTTTCACTAGTTTGGCTTTAAGTTCCTTGACTCTATATCAAGATCATCTTTGTTTGTTTGTTTTAGCTTTTTCCGAAACCTGAGAAGCTGCTTTCTTTAAACCACAATGACATTGGTGCGAGTTTAATGTGAGTCCAATTCCCGCTGCTATCCTTTCTACCATGTTATGAGTGCGCGCGCATGCGCAAGAAACCCAACATAATTGACTGAATTACTTTTGGCAATGAATTCAATATCACAATACACTAGTGAGCAAGGTATATTATATGATTGTATCTCAAATCATATATCTGTCTATTACCATTTTTGTATATCAACAGCACAAAGCGGTCTGAAGGCCATGTACACTTTTTACCTTTGCTTTTTATTCACTAACAATCTTTACAACTGAAAATGGTAGTATATGCTTATTTCTCCTTTTTATTATGGTGGAGAATAAGCACAATGACTACAATTATTGTTTTTCAAAGTTTTTTCATATTGCCAGAATGTTTTACTCATCTTATTAGTTGGACTTTTCCCCCCCACAATTTTAAGCATGCTAATCTAACTAAGGTCATCATATACACATATTTCATCAAAAAGATATAAAGTCCTTGGGGAAAGTAAGCTTCCCTCTGAATTTCTAGTACCTTCTCCTTCATTTTCTTGAATTCCTTGTTGATTCAACCGTGGATAATCAAGAATTACGGTATGCCTGATACCTCCGCTGCTTGAGTGAACAACTAAATATAGAACTGCACAACACCAAATCAGTGTTATTCAACAAAGGAATAAGAGAAAAGGTAAGAGAATGACACGAAAATCAAGTCATCTGACTCTCTGTTTAAATTTTGCCATTAGCAGTTCCGAAACTTGCCTTTGTTGCTAACTTGATGTCATTAGAGAAATCACTTCAATGACTCTTCATATTAACATCGTTTAAGGCCCTAATTTGTAGTTTTTAATTAAAATAGAACCAAGCCTGCCTTTTCTTTTTTTAATTTTTGAGGCTACTTGTTTAGCCTTTTCGAACTCACCAAATGCTTTAGGATATGCAACCGTTTGGAGGTTTTCTTCACACTTGTAACTGAAAATTTGAGAGTTGGATGCAACCCAAATGTCTTTAGCCCAAAGTATCTTGCTAGAACTGCATTATAATTAGGCATTCATATAACAATTAAAAATTTGAAGAAATTAACATGATGCCTACAATTTAAAAATTTATAACGCAGTGCTAGCAGGATAAAAACGGCAGACGGCAGAGATCCGAGAGCAATGAAGTTTAGGGCTTTTGAGTGGTAGAGAAGTTTATCAAGCAGTAATGTTGACGCCTGAAAACCTATCTCTTAAACGCGGGTATTTATAGGAAAANTGAGGGAGTTTCGGATTAATTCAGAGTCACGAGTCTGTCTGACTCTTGGGCGAATAATAGGAAAGCTTTCTTCTGCAGAGATTCAAAGGAGGAGAAAAAGATAAAACTTGCACTATAGAGGAAAGAAGTATTCGTTTGAGATGAATCAATCTCTGCACAAATCTGAAAAAGTATTTTGGATCTTTATATTATCTGTCTTGGAATTCAAACGATTCATTACCATGTGACAGAATCCCAAAGCTATGGGAAAGAGGGTGGGATTTTTCATCAAAAAGGGAGGGTCATATTTCTGGTCAAAGAGAAAGTAAGACCGAGTTCTTTACCAAGATTAGGGGTGTTTATAAAAATTCGAAAACCGAACCAAACTAAATCGATCAAAAAAATCAATACTTTTTGGTTTGGTTTGGTTTTGGTTTTGAAATTTAAAAATTGATCAAATTTGGTTTTAATTAAAAAAAATCGAACCAAACCGAATATAGGAGTAACTACTTTAAATTTATTATTCCACCTATATATATGTATACTTTTATACAAAGTTTTAAAATTTTTATAGTAAATATTAAATCGTTTGCATATTTAGTACAGTTCTTTACCTTTACATTTTAGTTTAATTGGTAGTTTCTTTTGTTAAGTGTAAGAATCTATTTCATGTTAAAAATAATATATTTTTAATTGAGTCCTTATATTATTCATCACTATTTGATTCAATTATCATCAATATATCTTGGTAAATAATAGATTTCTCAAAGGGCAATTGATTTGAAGTGTTACGTTGAAAATATGGTCGCCGAAATGTGTGTTTGGTAGTGTATGTCTTATATTTAAGAAAAAATCGACAAATAACCGGAAAAACCGAAAAATCGACATAAACCAAATCGAGAAAAAACAACTTAATTGGTTTGGTTTGGTTCTAATATTTAAAAAACCGACTTACTTGGTTTGGTTTCTTTTTAGGAAAAAACCGATCCAAACCGACCCATGGACTCCCGTAACCAAGATGGGTATGGGGAAAAATGGGTTTTGGAAATTTTGTTATATGAAAATAAGTTGTAAATTTTGGTTTTATTCCTTATAAAACAACAAAAACAAAACAAATTGACAGTTTTGATTAACACTGTGTGTATCATTAAGATCACTTTGCTGGCAGGTGATACCAATCATAATTAATACGCGAATATATAAACGGTTCCTTTAAATTGTACTCAATGATCATTTGAACACCTTAATTTCCCAATTGACCAACTATACATCTTTTCTTTCAACCTAATTTTCTTTTTCTTTGACAGAAAAATACATCTTTTTCTCTTGGTCTCTCTTCTACCTTCATAGTCGACACTCACCTCCATTATCGACCACAATCCATGACAGTCTTGATCAAGTACCCAAAAAGTTATACTACTACAATTTTATCTAAAATACCCATCTTCAATAATTTTCTCACTGTTAAGTTGCCACCACATAAACACCAATAGCCCTATCAGCTTCATCTCCACCAAATAAATACCAACAACCCCTTCAACCACTGTCGATGACAATACCTTACTTCTAACAGAAACACAAAAACAAGAACCAATGCTTGAACCGGCTAGACGACAATTTAAGGAGAAATTTACACAAAAAATAATAAACTAGAAACAATGATATAACCCAAATTCAGCATCAAGAAGATGATAAAGAGAGAAGACTAAAGATTTCAATAGAGTCGATTCTTTCAAACTTGTCCGGCGAAGGTGGCAACAATAGAGTCCAATTGGTGGCATCTTCACTTTAACTCCCCCTAACAATTAAATAGATTGATAAGTTTAAGAGTTCTCTCAGACGTGGAAAAATGAGACAAACAGAGAAATACCGTCGGAGATGAGCTTTTTCGGCAAGGTCCATCAATGACCCTTGGAGGGTTATTCACTTGGTTATTCTCTATTTTTTAAATATTTATATGAGTTTTGTGGAAGAGTTTTAGTGTTTAAGTTTTGAAAAAGAGTGGTTAAAGTAATGAAGGGAGGTGTGTCAAAGAAAATGGTGAGGAAAAAATGGGGAAGGACGGTGGTTTGGAAAAGCGGAAATGGGACGGGAAAGGAGGAGGTGTTTGTTTGGAGAGACGGTGGTTTTGTTTGGATGAAGGTGGTTTTGGGTTTTGATTTTTGATTTTTATTTATTTAACTTAATGAATTTATTTCTTTTAATTATTGGTTGCAATTTTTAATTCTAAGTTACACATGTTATATCTTATTGGTTCATTTGCCACGTAACCAGCAATTGCATTTCACACATGTGATCTGTTGAATGAAGGTGTTTAGAAGATACACTTCTGGCAAGTAGAGGTGTCTAATTGGTCAATTGGAAAGTTGAGGTGTTTACCTGATCGTTGGTGACAACTTAAAGGAGTCGTTTATATATTTTGTCTAATTAAGTAGATATGTTTTGTAAAAATAATATTAATGTTATTAAGTAAAATTTTAAATAACTAATTATACATTAAAAAATAAAGTATAAGCTTTTATGAATTATGAATGGGATTGTTATCTCTGAACCTACGAAGATAAACAATTAAACTGTATAAGATATAGTCCCTCTGTTTCAATTTATGTGAATCTATTTCCTTTTTAGTCTGTGCAAAAAGGAATGACCTTTTTTCTTATTTGGAAACAAATTACCTTTACATAATGATTTATAACCACACAACATATATGTGCCTCATTTTACACCATAAGTTCAATAATCTTCTCTTTTTTCTTAAACACCGTACCCAATCAAATAGGTTCACATAAATTGAAACAAAGTATGAGATTTCTCTACTTTTATTAATTTAATAAGGTACACATACAGTCCCTTAAACTGGTCCTCATTTACCACTTAGACTCCTCAACAAACTCATTTAATTAGACATTCCAACCGTAGAAAGGGTGTACCTATTAAACACCTCAAGCTGATGTGGCATACTCACACTTGTTGGTCGCGTAAACATTATTGTAATATATTTTTCTTATTTCTTTTAAATGTCTATTTTTTTCTTCTTTTTTTCTCAATTAATTTTGTTTTCAAATAACTTTTTTTCCTTTCTTCTTCTATCTAGGGATGGCAGGCGGGGCAGAGCGGTGCGGGTGCGCTGCGGGTTCTATATAAAATCGCAAAATTTCAACCCGCCCCGTCCCGCCCCGCATGTCACTTCCACCTGCACCACAACCACACTCGCATCCTTCCGCCCCGTCCCGCCCCGCTTCAATTTTTATTATTTTATTATTTTTTATTTTGTTAGTTTGTTTCTTTTTAAATTTTTTTGGCTAAAATTCTCCATGTAAGTTAAGAATTTAAGTTTGGGTGAAATTGCTTTCTTTATTTTCTCCAATATATTGCATAGGATTAAAAGTAGATAAAGACTTGTGAGGCTTCCGTACTGGTTATAGATTAGATTCAGTACACCATGTAATAAGACACTAATAATCCTTGTAAATTATTTTTTATGAATTACTAATTACAAAAATACGAATTAGGCTAATAAATTTAGGGTTATTTATTATGATAGCAGAAACACTTTCTAAGGCAGACAAACATACTTTGATAGGAACACTGAAACTTAATATATTAAAAGTACATCAAAGACATCATTGAAGTGTTGTAATTTTAAAAAAAATTTAAGCTCTAACCCGCACAAGATTTAAATTTTTTTATTTCAACCCGTCTCGTTCCGCCCCGCCCCGCCCCGCACCCGCATGTGTTTAAACTCGGACCGCCCCACATATATTTAAACCCATCTCGCTCCGCACCCGGCCCGTCCCATTGTCATACCTACTTCTTATTGGGAATAAACCACGTAAAAATAATATTTACGGTATTAGTGATAAACGCAGACCACTAAGTTATAGTTAAATCGGCAAGAGTAAAAATACAACAATAATGACACCAAGATTTTACGTAGAAAATCCTTTTGAATAAGGGAAAAATCATGGCCCCGAGAGGAACAACTGATATCACTAAGAAATTTTACACTTTGTAAGTCCGAGTAAAATACTCCAAAGACCACTATAACACTCAAAAGAAATAACCCTCCTTTGATATTCTCACTTCACTACAATATCGCTCCCTCTCTATTTTCTTCTACATGGTCTATTTCTCACAATGCTCGAGAAATACTCTCTGCAACTATTGTGTTGCTTCTTTTTCTGTGTGGTGTATCAAATGAAGAAACCAAACCTCTCCTTTTATAGGAGAAATGACTCACCTCTTCAACCAATCAGAATGAAGTATTGGTAATGCAAATTTTTCTTCCTTCCGCCAAACAATTTGGCAGCCAAATCCAAGTCCAAGTCCATCTTGGCAACTTTGGATTTTTGGTGGTTGGGGATGGACCCCACAATCTCCCCCTCCAGACCCATTCACCTGAAGGAGGTAATACTGAACCTTTAGCTTGAGTGCATGCCGGCAAGTTCTTTGCACAATTCGAACTTGTCTCTTGGTACCACCTTGGTCAACATATCTGCAGGATTTTCACTCGTGTGAATCTTTTTGACTTGAAGTGATTCGTTCTCCACTTGCTCACGAATCCAATGATATCTGACATCGATGTATTTTGTTCTCGCATGGTACATGAAGTTTTTGCTCAGGTCTATTGCACTCTGACTGTCGCAATAGACAACATACTCCATCTGTCCCAATCCAAGCTCTTGAAGGAACCATTTCAACCATATCATCTCCTTGCCAGCTTCGGTAGCGGCAATATACACTGCTTTAGTTGTATACAGTGTGTCACACCTCCTTTTTACCTTACACCCCGAAAAAGGGTGGAGATGAGGGAGTTTTTTCCAACTTAAAGTAACAATCGAAAACGAGATTAATTTATTTAAAGATTCAGAGTCGCCACTGGGGAGATTTATGGTGTCCCAAGTCACCGATTGAATCCTGAATCGAGGAAAATATGACTCTATTTAACAGTCCGCAAACCAGAAATCCGAGTAAGGAATTCTGTTAACCCAGGAGAAGGTGTTAGGCATTCCCG